AACAACTACTTGAAATGCAGAGTCTTTATTTTTCCATTTCAACCACCCCGTTGATACTAGTTAGCTCTCATTCTGTCTTTTGGTTTTTGCTATTTGTTGTTCTAGTTGTCATCAAAGGAAATTCCAGGCAATAAAAAAACATACAAAATCCAAACACATTAAGGGTTTTTCCATCTTCTTTCTTTATATGACCATCTATAAAATAACATGGACATTTTTGGACATAAAATCAATGCTGAAGCTGAGTCAAAAATGAGAGGAAATAGTGTCTGAGTGACCTCTATTATATAGTTAGTCATTCAAAAGAAAAAACATGCTTTGTGCTATGGAATTTAAATTAGCTGCAAAGCAGCCCATGTGCTCATTCAAGGAATCTTACAAATGCAGCTAGTTATTTCAGGAAGTAGATAAGAAACCCAAAGACATTTCCATCAAGATACATTATGAGCATCATAATTTAAAATTACAAGTCTCCTGGAATTCCACTTACTAGATTTCAGCTCCATTTACGTGACAAAGACAAAAAAAAGGAGTGGTGATCTCATAATTCTTTTCTTACCACATCCTTTCAGTACTTCTATCGAAAGCATTTTAAAATAATAATTCATCATGATACAAAAGAATAGAATTATTAATCTAAAAAAAGGCCAATAAACAAAATTGCAGATGCCAAAAGAGGAAAATAACTGGTTTCTGCAAGGGGTTAGGAAGGTGAGGGTGCTCTCCTTGCTGCCTGGCCCGCAGATGGCACAGCCCCCCAGCTTGTCAGCACCGCGGCCCCTCCAGCTTGGAGCTGCCTCCTCTGATTAGTTTGGGGAAAGTTTTAGCTAAATGTCACTCCCCCACCTCTTCCCACCTTCTCTGCCTCTCTCTCCACCTTCTCTCTCTCCTCTCTCTGTCCACCTTCCTTCCTTTCTTTTTTCCCCCCTAACTGACTGGAGGACTGAATGCTACCAAGGAGATTGACTTTAAAATCAATACAGTGAGTCCCTCCACAGGGCAGGAATTACAGTCTGTCTTCTGATGACAGAGAGCATGTAATTAATCCACGTTCCTGGAAAGGAAGTCGATTTTGGAATGGATCTAGGAAAAAATGGATAGGATGTGGTACAAATCTATTACTCTTTGCCGTGCCTTTGCCTCCCCAACTTTACTGAGGTATAACTGACAATTAAAACTTGTATATATTTAAGGTATAAGGGCTAGCGGGGAGGGAAAATGGGGAGATGTTGCTCAAGGGGTACAAAGTTTGTCTTTTTTTTTCTTAGTTAATAAAATAAAAAACAGCCTAGTCTGCAGTAAAGGCAGGAATCATGTAGAAGGGAGAGCAGGGGTTTGAGAGTTAGACCCTGTTACTGGAAAATTATTTATATAAGTTAATCTTGGCCCACTTCCAATAATACATTATATACATATTTTTGTAAACTTTAAGAATTAAACATACAAAGCAGCCCCCTGGACCATGACTCCCTCACTCCTTAAAGTACCACTATTCTGACTGCTGATAGCATAGTTTTGTCTCCCGTTTAAATGAATGAAATAATAGAATATGTATTTCTTTTTTTTTTACTTTTAAAATTTTTTTAAAAAGATTTTATTTATTTATTTGAGAGAGAAATCGAGAGACAGAGCAGGAGTGGAGGGGGCGGGGCAGAGGGAGAGGGAGAAGCAGACTTCCCACTGAGCAGGGAGCCGGATGAGATGAGGGGGTGGGGATGGATCCCAGGACCCTGAGATCATGACCTGAGCTGAAGGCAGATGCTTAACTGACTAAGCCACCCAGGTGCCCAAGAATATGTATTTCTTTGTGATTGACTTCTTTTGCTCAAATTATGTTTGTGACCAGCAGTTGCAGATGTGCAGCAACTGGAGTTCTTATCATCTTTGAGAAGGCAAACATTCCTTTTGCAAGAGTACTAGTAGGTCTATTGCCTGTGTAAGAATTAATTAATCTTACACTATTTTCTTTAATAGCTAGAAGGGCAGGATGAAGGTATGCTTAGAGGCACGTGCAGAATGATGGAAAGTGTGGGGGGAAAACTATAGAATGGACAGATTGCTCTGAAGATGGATTTTGCTTAGATAATAGTATTTCTAGGATAAGACTTGATGTTAAATGTCTTTAGGCATTTGTTCAAATCAACCTAACCTCCAGTACCTTGGCCATATCAACAGTAAAATGCAGTAATAATATGTCCTCTTTTCTTCCTTCCCTTCATTAAATATACTCTGTATTAAATGTGTATTAAATGTGCCCTGTATTAAATGTGTTCTGGGCTTTTCAGCAGAGAGTTGCTAAAGTCTTCCTAGATTGATGATTTCATTTAAATATACAATGCACACACTGTTAAATCTACTACAACCTAGACAGGTATGATGACTATCTCCGTAACATCCCACTGCATTAACCAAGAATCGATTGCAACCCATTACAAAGTGTTTCAAATGCAATAAGACGATCCAGAAACCCTTGGGCTCTCAGCTTTGCATTAATATATAAGAAGTAGTTTTCTGGCTCTGAAGGAGGCAAATATTCAGCAAGTAGTGACAGATGTGGGAAGTATTCAAGCTCTCAGGGTGTGGCACAGGAAGGCACAATTCACCTCCATTTAAATGCTATGCCCTTCAAAAAGATGCCCAAGTGGCCACGGGCTTCTCTACAGAAACATCAAGATTTGCAAGGGAAAAACAGGCATCTGGGACAAACTCACATCTTTCCTCACAGGTCAGATCCTGGACACCATAGCAAAAAATGGGAAGAGGTGGTGGATAGTCAGAGAAGGGGAGGAGAAAGAGGAAGCTCAGATGAAACAAATGTATAGCAAAATAATTGGGAAAATCTTTCCAATTGAAAAAGAATGAGAATGGAGTGGGGTGGGCAATTGGGGAGAGGAAAATTAAGGACCAGGACGTCTGATTCCAGAAGATCGTATTCAAAACGTTTTGTTTCATCAGATCTCAGTATTTTCATCTATAAAATGGAAAAAATAAAACCAATATATGTTCACTATGTGCAAGTGATCTGTCTCTATCCATTTGTCTTCCTGCCTACCTATATCAGTTTTATTATCTCCAAATTAGTAGTTGGACTTACCATACTACCAATTTTTATTGACTTTTCTAATACAAGAGCCAAAACTGTTCTCAAATACATAAACAGTTCAGCTCACTAAATGTGAATTTCAGCAAACCACCTAGTTCTGACCTGAGAACATGCTGCATGGAGATCTCATTATTCTTCCATTCAGTTTATTCCTCGGCTTTTACTACAAAGTAAGAGAACTTTTTGATGCTAGAAACATGGTAGGTGGGCATTTGCCAACTCTACGGGCCCATAGTTTAGGAAGCACATTTGCTGATGGAAAATATGACCTCCAAAGAGTGAATACTGTTCCAGTAAGTGAAGATTATTTATAGCTTCTGACACAGAAGGTTTCAAGTATAGAGTGAACATCATTAATTACACTAACTCAAATAAACTCTACAGGAAGGAGGACTATAAAGTCCACACCGGATGCCCTTAAATGATGTGATCTTAGAGAACTAGACTTGATGATGAGATGGGAAAGATGAATGGAGAAATGTTAGTGAGTCCAAGGCATACAATGGGGACTTGGGGCTTTGCTTTTATTCCCTAGGTTATCAGTGGTCCTCTTCTGATTGCAGCATCTTCCCCCTTATTTCTTTCTTTCTTTTTTTCAAAAGGAATGGTGGTCCAACATTTCTAAACCAATACAGACCTCTCTGTTCAGAAGCCCAGACTCCTGCTTCATGGAGACAAACTCATCTTCTTCCTCACTTTTAAGGTGACACCTCTTCAGACTTCACCTGCTCCATCCCTCCATCCAGCCATACCTCCAGGAGCCCATAGGAAAACTCTTTATTGGTCAGGCTAGTTTGCTCAAATCTCGTGTATTATCTGGTTCAGTCTGTCTATACTGTGTTCCCACCTGGAACACGGTCTCACGGAATCCCGCCTTGCCAAACCCTTTAAGACCCATGTCTAGCCCCATTTTTGTCCATGAGGTTCTCTCTGAATATCTAGCCCTCAAGGAGCTCCATTCTATCCTGTGAATAGCAGTCAGGGCTACTTCACATAATGTTTTGCTAGTTAACCATATTGTATTATCTCTTAGTTTGTTACGTGTTCGTTTCTCCAGACTATTTAAGTTAGGGACCTATCTGAATTAGGGACCAAGCTCTTTGAGTTAGGGATCTAGTCTACTCAGAATGGCAGATGGAGCTACTTTTTGTAATTCATCTATCCAGAGGATGTTCCATCTGCTAATTAACATAAGAGCACAGTATAGGCCAGCTTCAGCCCTTTCCTTCCCTTAAACTCAATTTCAGACATGTGCTGACCAACCCAGCTAACACGGATAGACACCACAGTTAGTCCCCGAGGAGAAAAATAATCCTTCTAGATCCTGTGAGTGATACCATCCATCAAATGTTTTCTCTCAAGACACCACCTTTCCTATATGTGGAAAGCGACACAGCCTTCCAGATGAAGCAGAACAAAAGACATTCTCTAAAGGAAACATAGAAAAAACCACCAATTTCAAATTCTGAGGCAGCCTGTTCAGCAACAATTGTTAAAAGTCCTAGAAATACAATCAAAGATACAGTAGGAGGAAAGGAAGATGGAAAGGCCAGGAGAGCTGGGTGAAGAAGTTGCAGGCGGAGTGGGGGAACTCAGCAATTGGCAGGCAATGATTTCTTCTGAGACAAAATGCACCAAGTCGAGCACTGAGGTAGACGAGTAAAGACCTAAAAGGGCAAAAAAATTAATTGTGCACCCCGGAGCACACAGATTTCCTCTTTTTGCCTGAGAGGAGCTTCTGTCTTTGGTCACAATGGTGTTGATCTGAGAAGGCTCGAGTACCAGCCTGTTCTCATCCTGCCACTCCTGCTTGCTGCCCACCCAGTAGACAGAATTAGAAAAACCACATGGCAGGCATTGCCTACTGCATTTCGAAGGAGCATAGTTTTGTATCTACCTTTAGGGCCTTCTGCGCAGATTCGCTGGATCCAATTGCGATTAGATTAGGCCCAGCCATGCTGCAGAAACTCTTCAAATGCAAAGCATCAACCACCGGGACTGTGGAGACCGCATAGTCCTATGTGTATAATAGAAACAAGCAGTTTGGCATTGCAGAATAATTCTAAAACTGATTTAAACCTGCCTGAAACATGGCTACTTCTAGGGAGGCTCCCAGGGGTCCTGAATATCTGGAAGAAAAACTGGGACCTGTAGGTTTTGGTATTGCCAGTTAAATAAAGACTACTTTTTTTTTTTAAGAGAGAGTGAGCACTGCATAGGGTGGAGAGGGAGGGGTAGAGGGAGAGAATCTTAAGTAGGCTCCCTGCCCAGCTCCATCTCAGGACCTTGAGATCATGACCTGAGCTAAAATCAAGAGTTGGACACTTAACTGACTGAGCTACCCAGGCACCCCAATAAAGACTACTTTTAAGAAGAAAGTGTAGAGAGCCTCCTTCCAGATGAGTGATTGTGTCAACGGCTAGCTTTGCTGGTTGATCCATGGAGTAGGCTACTCTGGAAGGCCATGTCTGAATATCCTGTGCAAAATAGAGCCTCATGTCCTCAAGGGGAAAAGAGCTTCCTAAGCAGTCTGGTGAGTCAATCGATTAATAATCAGTGGAGTAAAGGGACCTTGAGAGGATGTATGTGCAATATCTAGCCCAGTTTCCAGCACATAGTAGGTACTAAGTACAAGTGATCCTTGATTCCATTGTGAAAAATCCATGTTTCATGTTTGAGTCAGTTGGGTCTCCAGATTTTTTTGAAAGTCATTTATTTTGCAGGAAATCTGCCAGGTGGCTATATGATTATACACTGGGAGAAAACAGAAGATGTCTATAACCTTGTCTTTTGTGGCTATGGTCGCTCAAAGCAGCCTATTTATTGAGAAATTTGAATATGATAGCTCTTAAAACTTCTAGCAAATGTACAAATATTAGGAATTATTTTGCAGAGCTGGTGACATATAGATACCATTATTCATGACATGCTGATTTAATGTGTTTATGAATATTTATTAATTACTCTATGCCAGACATCAATGATCTAACTTTACGTACCTTAAAAGTATCAGCCAAGATTTCAGCACCTCGTTGATTTGTCCTTTTGGAAAGGCCCACAAAAAATTCTCTGCCTATAATAAACGTCATGGAACACAGTGAGTACTTGGTACCAGTGACGGCACACTGTTTCTTTATATTATATAATGACCTTAAAGCACCACACAGTTCTTTCCTACCACACAAGGCAGCTCTGCTTGTACTCTGACCTCTGCTCTCTTTACACAGATCTCATTTCAAACTATTGTCCTTAGAAATAAACTTGTTCAAATGCACAGAGGCAGAAAGTAGAATAGTGGCGACCAGGGTCTGAGGGGAGGAGGAACTGGGAAGTCAGTGTAGTGGGTATGAAGTTTCAGCATATGAAGGGGAAAACATGCTGGACATGGATGGTGGTGATGGTTGCACACTGAAATATACATTTAAAAATAGTTAAATGGTAAGTTTTATGTTATACAGATTTTAGCACAATAAAAGAAAAAACGTTCCACTTAGGAAATAACAGATTTTAAACACCTTCTTGTGTAATAAAAAATTAAGTAATAGCAATGACAAGTTAGTAATTCTTCCTTTTTTTCCCCTAAAAGAATAATACTAGACATTCATGATAAAGTCAGATTCCTTTTCTTATAACAATGATGTGAGGGCTGAAGAAACTATCTGCATAAAGGGAGTTAAGGGCTGATTGGTCTTCAGGCCTGACCTCTAAAGAGATATCCTTAAAACTCTTATTTGTTGTTTCAAGTCAAAACATCAGAGATGCCTATTTGCAAAGTACTAAAGTTTAGGAGGATGGAAATTTCTAGTCATTTGGCTTTTCTGAAATTCCATAAATTTTCTTCTCAGAAGGCAAAACACCAAATAAAAATGGTCCCCCAGTGAGAGGCGAACAATTATAGTAGATAGTATTAAGCAATATATAACTGTGAAGATTCTTAACTTCCCTTAATTCTTTGAAGAAGAATTCTACATGAAATGTGAAAAAAATATTCAAAGAGAAATCAGTATATATTTTGATCCAGAACATTAGGGTAAAGTATAAGAAGAAAAACCAGGTAGAAAGAATTGCTTGATAGACTTTACAAATGTTACAAACTTAATCCTCATAATGTCCTTTAAAAAGGGGTAAATGACCTAGGTCAAATGATGTTCTGGTAAGTTCCAGTGGCTTATGCTCTTGGCAGGCAGAGGACTCTGGTGGCACACTGACAGGTTTTTTTGTTTTTGTTTTTATTTTTGTTTGGTAATGGTATGTCTCTGCTGTCACTTGAGAAAACTCACTACATACAAATCAAAACTTAACTAAGAGGAAAGATCTTTTATTTGGCAAAATTATTACTTACTTTATTAAAAAAGCTGAAATTAAAAAAAAATTTCCTTAATTCTTCTAAGATAAAAATAGATTTATAAATTAGATTTATACATAATTTCTAGGAAAAATATTTAATGGATTAAGCAAATTTAAACAAATTTATAATGGGGTGTGCACACTATTTCTATTTTAAAAGACTAAGGTAGCAAAGCACAAAGAAAAGCAAACTGCTTATCTCTTTAAAAAGTCAGTTGGACTTTTGTTTCTGGCAATATGAGGGACTAGATCCCCTAAATGGTCTTTCTTTTTTTTTAAGATTTTACTTATTTATTTGACGGGGAGAGAGAGAGCACAAGCAGGGGGAGAGGGAAAGGGAAAAGCAGGCTCCCTGCTGAGGGAGCCCAATGTGGGGCTTAGTCCCAGGGTCCTGGGATCATGACCTGAGCTGAAGGCTGACGCTTAACCAACTGAGCCACCCAGGCACCCTGAAATTCCTAAATGGTCTTTCTGATGAAAATAACTGAACTTCTGGAACTGAAATATTAAAAAACATGTTTGTTGTTGTTATGTCTCTTATGTCATCTTTTTCTGTTATCAATCTACCCTTTCATCTCATTCATTTATAGGAGAAGCCAGGTCATTTATCCTGCTGATGATCCTACGTTCTGGATTTGACTGGTTGTTTCCCTGTGTATTATCTAACATGAAATTGTTCCTTTATCCTCTGTATTTTCAGTAAACTGATAGTTTCATGTAGATATTTAATTAGATTCTTGTTAAAAAATTTTTTTTTGATAGAACTACTTCAGAGGTGGGGTTATACTACTGTATCACATTATTAGGCACATGACTGAGAGCCACATTGTCAGTGATACTAGAATAATCTGTGTGTTCAAGTGGTATCAGCCTGATCCCTCTGTTATAAAGTTCCCCATCAAGCTTTCACATAAACGTTTTAACAGTCTTGGATGATCATTACACAGATCCATTATTTTATTAGAAATCTAAATTTATTGGCTAGAATTCTTTTAAAAAAACCTTTCTCAATCAAGTATTTGGTTTACTTGAAATAGAATTCATAAATGAAAGATAGCTAAATGCCTGAATCTTTCCTTCACTTATTAACTATCAGAGTAGTAAGATGGTGTCCCCAGCAACTTACAATAATGACCAATATGTTTTTTAAATTATATTATTATCCATGAATGAATCAAAGAATAAATCATAATGGAAATCAGAAAACATTTAAAACTAATGATAACAAATATATATCAAAACACAAAGGATTCAGCTAAAGCAGTACTTGAAGGGAAAGTTATACAGCTTTAACTGCTTGCCTTAAGATGAGAAAAGGTTCAACATTAAATAGACAAAGTTCCAACTTGAAATGTAAGAAAAAAAGAACAGAATAAAAACAAAGAAATTTGAGGGAAAGAATTAGATAGAAACAGGAAAAGGAAAGAAAATATAAAAAAGAGAGAGAATTCAACAAAGCCCAAAATTGGTTCTTTGAAAAGATGAATAAAATTGACAGATCTCTGGCACAAAAGAAAAAAGGTACAAATAAACATTACGAAAAATAAGGGGACATAGCTATAATGCTATGAAGCTTAAAACAGATATTAAGAAGATATGAAGTAGTTTATACCCAACATTTCGAAAACTTAGATAAAATATTAGAAAACAGAACTCACAAAAACTGACTCAGAAAACACTCAATAGTCATGCAACCATTAAAGGAATTGAATCAGTTTAAAGTCTCCCCACAGAGAAAGTACCTGGCCCGTAAAGCCTGTTTACAGGTAAGTTCTACCAAAGTTCAAGGAATGCACAATTCAAATAGTACTGATTCTAGAGAATAGAAACATAGGAAATATTCCCTAATATATGTTATGAGGTTAACATAATTCTTTTATCAAGGCCAGAGAAGGAAAGCAAGCAAGAAAAATTACTGGCCACAAAAACAAAAGTCTTAAGAAAAAAATTAACAAACTAAATCTAGCACTGTAGTAAAAAGAAAGTATATCAAAATGGAGTTGGACTTCATCCCAGGGATGCAAGACTGATCAAATATCAGAAAAATCAATTAGTGCAATTAACCACATCAATAGATTCAAGAAGAAAATCATATACATTTCACTGGAGCAAAAAGAGTTTATCACCTGAAACTCCATTTCTAGCTGTTTACTTTAGAGAAACTCTTATGCACATTCCCAGGAGACACAAGAATGTCCACAGCAGCACTGAAGATAATTAAAAAAAAACTGGAAAACACTCAACTATCCAACAGCAGTAGAATGAATAAATGCATTGTGGTAATTCTTAACCATGGAATACCACACAGCAGTGAAGACAAAAAACGATAGCTACACTCACCAAGTTAGATCAAAAGCAGACAAATCACAGAATAGTTCATATAGTATGATCCTAATCATATAAAGTTATAAGACAAGCAAAACTAAACAACTTTTTTGTTATTTTTTTTTTTTTTAGGAATTTATAGTTTAGGAATGCATAGATTGAGGTAAAACTCAAAGAAAGACAAGGCAGTGATTAATACAAAATGCAGGACAGTGGTTACCTCAGGCTGCGAGGAGAGAGAGGTTAGGAGTGGGGCTCCTATGGTCCTGGCAATATTCTATTTCTTAAAGCCAGGTGGCAGATACCAGGTGCTCATTTTATCCTTGGTCTTTAAACTGTACATAGACATTGATAACTCTTTTATTATTTGTTCCATATTTCACAAAAATAAAAAAAATGAAAGTAGAGGTATGCTGATGCCTATTTGGATTAAAATAATTTCTGCCAGGAGCTGCTTGCCTGACTCACAAGATTCCCAGGGGAACTGGAGTTGGATAGCTGCTTTCCTTCTGCCCATTTCCCGATCAACTGCTAATGAAGCAGCTGAAAAGCACTACAAAAGCTGTGGAAAGTGCTACAGATTTTGTTTCTTCCCCAACTCTGCTGAATCAAAAAATTGAGTGGTGTTGTTGGCACAATACGGTGAATGTGGTTAGTGCCACTTGAACTGTATACTTGAAAATGGTTAAGATGGCAAATTTCATGTTATATGTATTTTACCAGAATTTAAAAAAAAAAGAAAGAAAAAAATTGAGAAGTAGGAAATAGAAGGCATGACCAGGCATCAGGCATGGATGAGGTGCCAAGCAGATATCCCAACACAATCTCAGTTTTGAATAAAATAACTTTCAAGATATTAACTTAAGGATGGAATATTACCAAAATAAGCTTGCAGATAGTGTCAACGGCAAGCCTCAGTACTTAGGTACCTAATAAGGAGTTGGGGCAAGAACATCAGGATTGAAATGCTATGCAAAGATCTCTGACCAAAGGAAGAGGTTCCTATAGTTTCTATAGTGAAAGCTGCGTCATAACATGAGAAGATTTTAGGGAATCTGTTCAGCTCAGCTGTTAAGATAGCTAAAGGGCTGTGAACATAGCTTGTTTCAAACCATACTTCGGGGCGCCTGGGTGGCTCAGTCGTTAAGTGTCTGCCTCTGGCTTGGGCCATGATCCCAGGGTCCTGGGATGGAGCCCCGCATCAGGGAGTCTGCTTCTCCCTCTCCCACTCCCCCTGCTTGTGTTCCCTCTCTCACTGTGTCTCTCTGTCAAATAAGTAAATAAAATCTTAAAAAAAAAATAAACCATACTTCAAATATTATCAGTACCTGCTTACAGGAAGTTATTTATTATATAGTTGTGTTCGGTAAAAAAGAGTTTTATTGTAAGGAAGCATGATTTACACATCTAGCTTTTCACAAAAGCCTATTTTCTAAGAGAAACAGGCTGTTGTTCTGTGCTGCCCAAAAGAATGAAGTGCCATCATTGGGAGACACAGAGAATATTCTAAGGGGAACTTATTAGGCAGATTCGAAAGAATGCCTGAGTCTGTGTGGACATGGCCAGAGCTGAGAATGCAGCGTAGGCCTCCTTGACTCCTTGTTCTGTGTTCTTAGGGCTCAATGGGTGTGCACCCCGTAGCCCAGGTTGTGCAGTGCACAACCCCAGGGGGTACTATTCATGAGCTTGTGATAAGAATGGCGCTGCCTAGAGCGCAGCAACACAGTGGCCCCACCCATAGATATGGGACACTGAGCCAGGAGCTACTCAAACGTCACAGGATAAACACCTTTCCTCCTCCAAGAACATTAATGATAGCAAGATGTAAGTAATACAGAACATTATGTTTATATTAAAATGAAGATGGCTTATATTTTCTCTATATACAAGGGATTCAATCTAAAATTCACAGCAGCTAAAATATTAGACTTCTAAGAAGCTTCATGTTTTCAGGGGACCGTGGGCTACATTCCCAAATCCCTGGTAACCAGCCCTTGCTGGTAGGGCTACATCTATGAAACAGGTATTTTTTCTCTGACATTCAGGGGAAAATAAACTCTCACTATAAATTAAAAATTGTTATTGATTTTCCTGCTTATCAGTATAACTAGAATGAATCTGGGGATCCAAATTTTGGCACATGACTTTTGCAAAACAATAATACGATCACAAAGAGCTGGAAAGGTTAAATGCTACAATTACTGTTTCTTTAGCAGCAATATTATGCCCACTATAAAAACTGATTCTAGTTAGATCCATAATATCAGCTTTTTGTATTTGGTTGAGTTCTGATATTATTCATCTGGCATTGAAGCCAAATCAATTTGCATTGAAAATTATTTAAACTCATCTTGCTGTCTGGGCAAGAAAATTATTTGTAAATGACACCTCTTGAATTAAGAGCCTTTTAAATACAAACCAGATACAATAACATACAATGCAGAACTATACAACCCACAAGCTCACATTGTAGAATATAGTAGATGCAACCTACAAAATGATAGGTACACACTGATAACATTTTTGTAAAAAATACACAAATATGGCATGCATACAAAAGTACTAAAAGGACATACACCCAAATGTTGAAATGATTATCTTTGAATGAAAGGTCATTTTCATTTTATTCTCTTTTGTGCTTTCCAGTATTTTCCAAATTCCCTGCAGTTAGCATTTTTACTTTGGTAATTAAAAACAACAACAACAACAACAACAAAACCCTACAGTTAAGTGAATACAAGCCAGGTATTAGAAATAGTTTTGGATAGGAGAAAGTGAGGATGAAGATACCTGTGAATAAGACGTCTCCACCATCTAAAGTTGCATTTTCATCTTTCATCTCTACTAGATTGAGCTGAAGTTTTTCTAATGCTTCTTTCATCATGTCAACCTGTTGAAAATAAAATTATTCAGATTGATACCCCACCATTTTCTAACAACAAAACTAATCATCTAAAACTTCTGAACACTGATTCATGCTCTTACGTACACTAGTGCACACACACACACACACACACACCCTTGTGACTATATGAATATACGTAGTGTAGTTTGGACTTGCAATGACCATTTGTAAGAGAATAAATTATCTATTAGAAATTGTCCATTATGTCTCTGTCTAGTCTATGCTAAAGTCAATATTATAGTCCCTTTTTCTGTTGGAGGCTGACTGGTTAGGACACTGTTGGAGGCTGACTAGTTAGGACACTGTTGGAAGACTGGCTAGTTAGTGCATATGGGTCAAGAAAGGTGAAAGGCAGAACAAATCTTCCTATTCTTGCCAGAAAGTACAAGATTTAATTTTAAACCTTAAGTCAGTCAGTCAGTCATAATTGACTCATACTCAATGTATGCATTACTCATGCATACATTGAGTAATATATGGAAGAAATATCAATGACAATAACCAGTTACTTGAAATCTCAGCTCACAGGACATTGTTTTCTGTTCAAATATTTTCTAAGATGTCAGAACATCTAAGGCTTCTCTGTAAGTCTGAACTGCTAATTAAATTTAACCTAGTCCCCTAGGGGTGATTAACAAACACAATAATTGCAATCACACCAAAGAATACTTGAAAAATGAATTTCAGGGGCTTTCTAGGATTGCAGGATATAGTCTAAAACACAGAGATATTCTGGGCTGAATTAGGGAATACTTCTAGTGACGTTTATTTTTAATGCAAGAAAAAGATTTAAGGCATAACAAATGCCCTTTGAAATTCAGAGTTTAATTCAAATCTTTCCAGCAGCTCAACAATTTAAATATTTCTGAAGGTCTGTATAACCTCTGACATGGTGAAGACATACATTGAGCAAACATGAATAGGGGCGAAAGGAAAACAAGAGATCACATGATCCTGAGAAAAGGAGGTAGTTCTGCCAAACTACAGCATGCCCAGGACACATACAGAATTGTTGATGAAGAGTTTAGGAGACACAACTACAACAGAGTAACTTCTAAAGTAATAAAAACATGGAAATATTCTGACAACAAGCCCGACATTCATGCAGTCAAGAAAAAAAAGAGGATACAAATTAAAATAAATATATCATCTCATCCTTGTCCTGGAACATGTAAAAATTCCACAAACCAGAGTGACTCAGAACAATAAAAAATTATTTCCATGGACAAAATGGTCTTCATGTTGTAATAAATATATCTAGTGTTCTCTCTTAACAGCAGAATAGGTTTTTCTATGTAACAGGAAGGAGAATCATTACTGTAGCATAAAAAAAGAAACAAAATAACATTCACCATGGCTTGCTGGGCCATAGTGAACCCAAGAAAACACAACTGTTTCCTTTTGGCATCTGCCTCTGGGTCTATGGAAAATTCTCTGAGCTTGGAGAGAGATCTTTAGAATGCAGCTACTGTACCTTTTGTCTCTCTTATGATGCTACTGCTTCTATTGTAACTTAACATTTCAAAGATTACCAGGAATACAGCAATAACATGTATTTTGGTCTGACAAAGGTATACGTAACTTTGATTCTTAAGAGTTTCAAGAGGAACTTTATTCGATTCTTAGGAGTTCAAAGAGAACAGAAGTAGGGAGGCTAATATATACCAGTTTCAGAAACACTGTATTTCTTTAAAAGTCCTGTGTCTTTCAAATTAGAGTTTTAGAGGATAAAATGCTTGTGGTTTCTTAAAAGTTAAAACAGCTGCACCAATATGAAAAAACTGGCTTTTGCGCAAGGCCTGTAATTATTTTTCTCCTTAAATATTCAGTCACATCTATATAAACAAAGTCATCAGGATAGGTCCATAACACAAACACTGATGATACCATATTACTTTCAGAGTTAAGGGTATGGACAAGTTTAAAAGTTTGTTAAATGTCAAGTAAATAGTTCTGAGAATTGTAGAACCATATGGCATCAAATCGGCCATGTTAACTCCAAGGAAATTTCTGGAGAAGAAACAAGAGAGGCTGAACCCGGAGGCTGTCCACTGAGAACCACAAACTCTTGGCATAGTGGTTCCACGAAGCAGACAAACTCAGCTGCACACAAGGCCCAGTATTGCCCTGACACACGGACCCAGAGCAAGTCAGTTATCCTGGCAGTTAGAACACTAAATATAACTATAGAAGTGGGAATTTTTGCAGGAAAAGATCCAAACCATGAGCCCTCAAAGAAACTGCCCATTCTGTGGTTACACAGCCATGGTTAATGTTGACTTAATTAACTTTCAAGAGGAAAAAAAAAAAAAAGACCAAACAACACACCCCACTTTTCGCTGAGACACTAATGTTGCAGAGTGGAACTTAGCATTACTCAGGGTGGGGAGAAACTGCCAGACAAACAGCATTAGTTCTAAAGGTTGAGTTGAATAGTTCACTTTAGCCCATGAAATTAGAAATAAAAGGGTAAATTAGAGAAACAACCTTAATTAATGTAAAACCTACTGATATTATTTTCACACTCTAAAGATTGGCAAGGCCTTTCTTCCTCCCTTTTTCACTCTGCATACAGTGTCTCATTCCTTTACTTTGTACTCCCATTTTTTTTGCCTCCTCTTTGCTTGTTCCACCCTTTGCTAAAGATTCCTTCCCTGACCACAGTGGGTTCAGACCACCTCTGCGGCTTCCAACCATCCAACCCACACGTCTTTCTCAAGAGCTGGTACTAGTTTTGAAGTCATTATCTTTTCCTTTTCTTCTTCCTTCCCTCCCCATCTCCTTTTCCTTCTTTCTTTTTTTTCCCCTGGAGTACTATTGTCAAAAACTGTAGAGCCCTTGGGGCTACACAGGCAGAGGCACTGCCCTGGGAATATCTGCATAGTGTACTGTTATCCTCAAGGGCCTAGAATTTAAATCCCGCTCGGCTACTTATTAGCCAGTGACAGCTTGTTTAACTCTCTGGGCCGCAGTTTTCTCATCTTTAAAATGGGTGGTTAGTTATAATAGTACCAACTTCCTTGGCTCCTCCTGATGATGAAATACACATAAAGCACTTAGCACATTATTATTCTCAATAAATATTAGATAGGACTTCTATCATTTTGATGAATATCAGCTTATGTGGACCCAATGATAAACACTTGTGCTATGAAACTGATCCACAAAAGAAAGCTGTTGCTTTTTCTTACATTTGGACAAGTTTCTTATGTTTTACCCCCTACGACAGATCCCATCTGCTTTCCAGTGAATTAACATTACAGTCTTTTCTGCAAAGCCCATGTAAAGTTAGAACACATACACTGAAGACACATTGAAATTTAAACCATGCCCATTTGATTTCCTGCCAGCTCCTGGAATCTGTCAGGCTATGGGGTAGATTCCTTGTGTAATCTCTGCTTTAAAACAGCCCCCTGGATGTACTACATAAGGTGGGAAGTGGGCCTGTCTGGTAAGATGTCCCACAGGACTCAAAGGAGTGTCAGCCAAGATGATACAGAATGATTACAGTTCCTGAAGATAGGACCACTCTAAAGGACTCAATCTAAAGAATTCCCTCTCTTTTTCAATGCCTGGTCCCTTTTCCTACATTTTCTGTTCCTCTCTCTTCTCACCTTCTTTCATGGCCCTCATTTCTATTCCCTCATTTGTCCTTCATGTTTACATCATCACCCTGTCTTCTCATTTCACTCCTTTTGGGTTCTCATGGTGAATGGAAAGAATTGAGGATTTGAACTATTAGGTATGTTACTTGGGATGAGTTGTACTTTCTGAGCCTCGGTTTCCTAATCCACAAATGGGATAGTGTTTTCTCTCTAACAGGGATTATGTAACAAATAAGCTAATACATGGTGCCTGGCACATTGTACTCAAAACCAGTGGTTGCTGATGTTATTGTTTTGCCCTAAATTAACTCAGTGCTTGGTTTGGATTCTGGCTACCTTTCAAAAAGAAATAAAAGACAAAAATAGACCATTTGATTCCAACTCTTCTTTTCTTCTTGCAAAATTTCCCCCAAACACAAAATACTAGAACAAGTATAAAACCTTACACATTTTTATTGGGAAGTTATATTCCCGGTAGCTTGCAAGAGCACCGAGTAATTAGTACAATATTCTTTACTTAGATACCGACATTTTCCAGTTGACCCTGTCCAAAGTTGCCTTTGCTGCCTATTTTCAACTACGTCCACTTTGAATGTTTCACATCTTCACTAGGGATGTTGTGAATGTGCTCACAAGGGCTGATGAACAGTTTTGTGGTGCGGTTCCATTAAGAGTCTGCACCAACTTGTTTGCCAAGCTGCTTTCCTTTAGCTGCTTCTGCTCAACGGGTGCCAGATGTTATGACTACAGATGAGGACCTTGGCATCGGCTTGTCTGTGGCCGATATGTCTCTGTCCCCCACAGACCTGCCATGCGTTGGGAGCTGTGCTATCAACACTATCGCCACTAGGTTTTCAAAGCCCATTTCAATGTTCCAAGTCCCTTTATTACTCATCATATTATAAGAGCTTTGAAATTATACTGTCATCCTATTCATACTCCATCTAGCTCTTAAAAGCTGAATAGCAGCAACATGGCTTTGTTGGTTGTCAAATAGATTCATTTTCTCAATTTGTTGATTTTGTTTTGCCTTTTAATGTTAATTATCTTGTAGATAATGCTGAGGAAGCCACTCAAGAAGCTGATGTGATGTTTCTATCATGTCAAGGCACAGCTGGCTTGAAACTTGTGGGTACATCAAAGTTATGCTGGGTTGTCTCTGGTCACACTCAAAAGTCCACATTTCATTGGTACCACTTCAATGTTCTTTGTTAATCAGCACATCTTTGATCCTGTGGTCACTTGGAATAGTGTACGTTTAGCTGATTTTATAACAATAGTTAACGTCTCTATCATGCTTTTATATATCTTTTCTCCTTTAATCAACATTTCAGTTCAACAAACATTTAGTAGATGCCAATTTTTAAAAAAAAAATCAGG